TTAGTTGTTGCCTGTAGTTATTGTATTATATAATTTTTATTAATTTATTATAGAAAAAAACCTATATTTTTGTTTCCGAGAAAATAAATGATTTTACGGAAAAAACATTGTAAAGGTGTCGCCGCCTTTAGTCGTTGTCGGTATTTGGGTCGACCCAACCACCGCCTAACGAAGGCGGCAGGGAGGCAATTTCCTAAAGGCGGCTGATTAGTCAAAGTCTAATAAATCGGATTTTCCAATTGATAAATATAACTACAAATTGATAGTGATAAATATTGATTTGAGATAATAAATTACAGTTTACAATAAATAATCAATCATTGAGAGGTGAGAATTAAATGTTTTTAATTTTTAATTATCATTTGTATTTAAATATTAAATTAGTAATCATTAACTCAAATTGTTAAAAAATATAATAATTAATTGCCAACGCTACCAATTGGTACGAGTAAGATTATAAATCGTTTTTTAAATATAAATAGTTACTAATCATAGATAATAATAAAATTCTCGCCTTTTATTTTTAATCAAAATCAAGTTACAATAAAAAATTATCATATTATTTATATGTTCTTATATAAAAATTACAACTTGTGTTTAAATACATAAATTATAATGCTAGTTAAATTAACAGAATAATTAGTATAAATTTTTTAATTTGTGTTTAGAAATTACATAGTAAAAATTTATTTAATACAAATTTTTAATCTAAACTTAATAAGGCAAATTTAATATCGAATATTACTGAAACTTATAAAATTATAAATGCAGTGAAACTTGTTTTGTAATTAAATCGTGAACGTTGGAGAACTCCATAATATTTTTTAATTAATTGAATAAACAAACTTGCTAATTAATTCAATTATCTTAATTGTGCCGTTTAACAAATAATTGATAGTGAAACACTATTTGCACAAATTTTAATATAGCCTTAACGGCGGCGTAAGTCTCGTTCCCGACGGGTATTATATCCGCGGCCGGCAATAGGAAGCCGTGTTGGCCCTCATCGCGCATGGACATTAAAGTTGGTAATGTTTTGAATTCATGGTGGTGGACTGAGTATTGGTTCAATATTCCAGCCCCTATACAATGGCAGCGTATTGGCCACCAATGATGTGATAGTGGTCGCTGTTAATTATTGCTTAGGTCCGTTTGGATTTTTATATGCTGGTGCCGGTCACGAGCATATAGTGCTCGGAAATGCGGGCTTTTATGACCAGCTACTGGCCCTGCAATGGGTATTATAAATTATTAATAATGTTGAATAATTTATTTTACAAACAAAATTATAATCATGTTTAATTGGAAGGTGTGGGACAATATACACTCGTTTGGCGGTGATAAAAACCAAATGACTATATTTGGTCAAAGCGCCGGCAGTTGGTCGGTGTCGGCACATGTATTGTCCCCGTTATCCAAAG